ACAGAAGAAAAACACCACCGAGTTGTAAACGGAGAATTTAGGAGAAAAATCTGACATAATCCTGACATACTCTCGCAGGGACACTTTAGACAAATGCAGACAACTCCACCCCAGACAAACATTACCATGAACCACAAACTTATCAGAGCTATGTGAACATCCAGCTCTCTTTAAAGTAGACAGCCACATAGATCAGGCATTCCTAGAATGGCAATAACCTCAGTTATATTTAATCATAATGGGTCGGTTTTGTCATTGACAGTCCCACTGATTATTAATTAATTTGCCAAATTTAACAAAAAAGATGAAGATCCATCATGGCAATCACAGGTGCTTCTACTGACATTGACTGTGGATGCATTTAAGCCATGCCGAGTGCCCGATCCCACGTGCGGCGCTCTCCAAAGACCAGGCAGGAGCTGGAGACAGATCAGTCTCCGTCTCCTGGGAAAAGCTTCTCACTGCGGAGCTTCTCCAAAGCGTCTGGACTGGCTGTCGACACTCCCTGCCTTTAATGTATGATCAAGAAAAGCTTTAACTCATTACTCTCTACAACGCCCCTCCCCATTCTTGTCCTAACTGCTTTCGTATGTTTAATAATACCGACTTCAGATGAATTTGTTCCACTAACACGCATAAGGCGGGGAGGAAAAAAAAAATCAGTGACAGATCCAAGATAATAATCTTTTTTATTTCGTGCACAAGAATCAACGGTTGGGAAAGATCCATTTCAATTTGAGTTAATCTCCACAAAGGCTACGCACAAAACGAAACCCTTTACAATTTTTTTTCTTCCTCTGGTGATGACTTAAGCTGTGCTCAAGTTTTTTTTTCTTTTTTTACAAGAAAGTGTGGTCTGGAAGTTACCCCTGGGAAACACAAATCCAGCGTGAGCCTTACTAAAAAGATGCTGGGTCAAATTCCAGGTGTCGTGTCCTTGAACACCTATTCAGGGCTGGATTCTTGGTTTTAGCCTAAGTTGGTTCCAGCTGTAAACGTGAGTAGCATTCGTAAGTCACCCAAGAGCCCCACAAATAAGTACTGCGAGGTGTTGCACAGCGATGCTGACTCACAGCGAGGACACGTTGGTCCAACACGCCGCTGGTGGAAAACCATCAGAGCCGCTCAGGTTAGAAAACCCCACATTACCCTCTTCCTAGTAGGCCCAGCTTCATCCCCCCGCCCACTCCCTCCCTGTGTTGTGATGAAAGTAGAGAGAGCACCTCCACTACTCGCCTCTTTTGTTTATTTACCTTCAGAATTACACCCTGCTCTTCTTGGACCATGTTCCAATGTGTTTTGTTATGTTTCCCTTCAAATAGAATATCTACGCGTGTGGTCTCTGGCCGTGTTTGGCTAACACACGCACACATACGTGCACACACACTCCCATTCAACTTTCCCCCTGTGCCAGAGGTCCCCTTTGCCCTCCCCCCCTCCTCTAACTAAACATCGCAGGACAGCAAAAGGGAACTTCAAAGTGGCCGGAGGGGGTACTCCTTTTTTCCTGGCACTTGTCATCATCTAAGGGACTGGCTGCTCCCCTTATTACTCTAATTGCTTCCAACTGCTCCTGGAGGCTTTGATGAAGGGCGCCACGGAGCATGCTGGAAGCACCTGTTGTTGCACACAGGAGCACAGGTGGCCCTTATTGGTGATGGCGTGGTAGCGTGCGGATTGCAATGGTGCTTCCTGCTAAAATCGTGCAGCTCAAATAAAAACATAATCTCAATGTTATCTCAGATTTGGGGATTTATGAAACTGCAGTCATACTAAAAAATGATAACTTTTAGCTGGTGGAACTGTGGAAGGGGGGACTGTTGATCGAGAGACATCTCAGCAGCGCTCTGGCTCCATCTTGTGGTATCACTGTGCTAGAAGTCTAGAAGCTGTGTTGGAGAAAATTGAAGAAATACGAGATTGTCAGACAGCAGACGTAAAAGTCTTTTGCAGAAAGGTTAAATACATTTGAGATTAATGATAGCTCTCATAGCATCTACACATTTAAGGTTTTCGTTTACGTATCCCCAGAAAAAATTTGCATTACCACTCCATTTCAAATCATCACATTTTCTACTCAACCATCTCCAATGTGCCTAAAAGTGTGAACATATATAATGACTGCTGCAACATTTCAGCTTCACATATCAAATGTCTTTCCGGATTTTTTTCTTTTCTAAAAGGCCATTCCACCTACTTTCAGGCCTTTTTTTAATGGATTAAAATCAGAAGCAGTCATTGAGCATAAAGACCTCAAAACCTACTAAAGATAAAAGCCAGAATTTTTCACCGCCTTCTTTAACCATCAAAACAAAGCAGGATCTGTAATTTGGGACTGATACATGAAAAAAGTCTCAGAGTATTTGGCTGTTAAAACATCAACAAAAAAAATCAAGCTCTCCTATAAAGTCCCATGTTTGAGCACACGCTAATAACAAATGCACATCGCAAAAGATTAGTATATAGATGTTTTTATCAATACTGCAAAAATAAAACACTTTATAACATTCTACGTCTTAAAAATGACATTTGATAAAAAAGCAATGTTGGATTGAGAAAAATAAGTTAAAAACATCAGCAGATAGTCTGCTCTGAACAGAACACAGTTTTGTAATTTACAGATGGTACAGAGATTAGATTAGATTAGAAAATGATTTTGTCAAATATGTGCATATCTTTCATTTTCAAGGCCTACTCTAGCTACTGTTTCGAGACATGCTACCCTGGAAGAGTTTTATAATTCAGTTTAATTACAAGATACTAAGTTTAAAATATACTTAGAGTTACTGAAAGCTAAACAATATAGGATTTTCATATATATTACAATTCTTGTAGCATTCATTCTGGTAGTCAGTACACCAATCGCCTGATCCCTGCTTCCCTGTAGCAGTGGTGGCATTAGGGTTAGCGTTGGGAGTTAGGTTCTTGTATCGGACCAGAGATCCTGCCAAGAGGACAATAGTAACTGTGCAAGACTACCTATGTGACATGAGCTACTAATCCCTTTTTAATTAATCGTAGTTGTTTTACTATAAATACTTACGAATGATATTACAATACTTGTTGAGCTTTTCATAACTTAGTGTATTTTAAACTCCAGGGCAAAGTGTATGCTTACGAAGTTATTTTCTCAGTTATAATTAGATTACCATCTGGAAATTATAGAATTTTCTTGCATTCGGATGAGGCCATGTTTTTGTTGTACAATATTGCCATATTGGATCATTACAGCATGAAAGTTGAATGAAAACAGCATTTTTGCAACTAAAAAATTTATGTTAAAAAGTACTTTAAATACTGTGCTTTGCATCACTGTGAAATATGCCTAAATACCATTCAGACATAGTCACTAGCTGTCTATTGCAGTGTCTACTGCCTAGATTTCAAAGTGTGAAACAAAAAACACGAAGGAAGTGAGTAGATGGACCATTTAAATATAGATAATATTAGATAGTTCAGCAGAAGACCCATGATGATTTTGATTTGTACAAGCTGTTCCCGAACCATACACAAAGTGCAAAAGCTAATGCAACAAATATATTTTACTGCAAAGAAAAATAAAAACTTGCCCAGTAATCCCATTATTTTTAGTATTAGCTGTAATCTGGGCTAAAGATAAGACTATGCAAACAAGCGGAAATAAGTAAAACGAAAACATTTCTTGAGCCTGTTGAGCCACATACCAGCTGAGGCAGGATCTTTTCAAAATGTTCAATGTCTACTTGGTCACAGTCCTCAGATTCGGCTTGTTTCTGTGATCTCACGGCAGCCTCTGAAAAAGGAGATAACAGCTTCAGGGTGTTATCATTAGCCAGTCTGTTATTGTGTCTCAAATGTTGTGCAGCTGTGTCAAAGCTCCTTACCTTGCACAAACACTTTAAGCATCTCTACCATGAGCAGTGTGGCATCTCCGCTTACTGCAACACAGTGGGATTTTATCAGCACGGTCACAAAGAGAGCAAGACGTCACTGATAACAGCATAGTTATCCCACTCACGTTTTGTTTTGTCTTCTTTGAAGAAACTAGACAAAAGTTTGCTTACTGTATCCTGTGTGCAGAACAGAGCACAAAAGTGGGAGAGTGTATTAGTCATAAGGTTTTCCACTGAGTACCTGGCCAAAGAAAGTAGTAGTAAAGCACTAACAAAGCAAAACAGACACGATTTAGTAAAAATAACAAATGAACGCAACACAGACACAACAAAACCTGCCTGCGTATCCACTTTTGAAAAAAAAAAAACCGTATTTGGCTTTCAAGCTAAGTTTGTCCGTCGAATTCCTTCTCGAGTTTTCGCCAACCAAACGTCTTTGGTGAACTTGGCGATTTAAAGGGCTCTCCGCTGTCCGCGCAAAAAACGGAAGTTGTCCAGGAAAGTGTGGTCTTAAAGCAATCGCTAGGACCCAGTCTTTTATTCGGCGTGGTAGTTACGATGTTATTCCCCGCAATATCTGAATATCTTAACAAGATGTAAAGTGTTAGCTGTCGTCTGACAAAACATGTTGTGTTTATATGGTGGGCGTGGAAACACACAAGTCGGCGACAAAGAAGTTCGCTTTTTTATTAAAACACCAGTGGGTACAAGCAGGCATAAACACTTAAAAACAAACGGCTGACTGCTCCTACCTTTTTAAAGGAAATTTCTACGTCCTTTTCCGCCATGTTGTTTTTACGCTGTAGAAGAAACTTGGCGCTCTACGTAGCGATTGGCTTTTGACCCGTGACGCAAAACTCATGTAGACGGTACAGAACACAGGATTTACAGAAAGATTTGAAATTATATATATAATTATAATTATATATAACATATTATATATGTTAATTAATATTTTTTTTCTTGCTATATGTAATACACAACAAAATAATATATACTAATACGTAAACGAACAAAAATATTTTGGTTTTCGCGAATAGTATTTCAAATAAATCATTTACCACAGGAGGAAATACAGAAAAACAGCAACACAGAAGAGCACAAATCCTTTGTCTTCTTTGTATTTATTCCTGAGCAAAGAAAACCAACAATAACTACTATTTTCTTACAACTTCACAATTTTGTCTTGTTACCATAAAGTCAACAATCATGTCACATTCACCAACAGTGGCTGGACAAAGGACTACATGACTAACTTCACTTATAGTGTGACATCTGTAGGTCCTTTACAAACATTTAGGAAAACTAAAATATCATAAACACAACACATTTAAAATATATACAATAAACAAAAAAGTATTTTTTAGCCAGAAATTCACAGTTATGGGTAAGTAGGTAAAACTTATTAGTAAAACTAAGAGAAATACATACATAAATACATGTGCATTAGGTTGTATGTTCTCATGTATGGTACTGACATAACAACCAATGCCCTCAAGCTGGTCAACTTTGGATCAAAGCTTTGTTTATTCATTCATCTTCGTCTAACCACTGAGCATCTTCGAGTAGGTAGCCAAGACCCATTGAAGGCCGTGGTCGAGGTTTAACTGTGGCTCCATCAACCCCTTGCTCTGAATCCTCCTCACCCTGCAAGACATTTAAAAAAAAAAAAAAATTATTTAATTATGATAGGCTGTGATTGGAACAGTCCCTAACATAAAATAGTTGTCATTTGCTCACCTTGAAAGTAACAAAGCGCCTCATTTTAACTTCTGTTCCACCAATATTGTGAGGACCGACCCAGTCTGCCATGTCTGCTTCTTCCTCGCAAGAAAACGTCACAAAGGCCACCGATTTTTGTTTCCCAGAGTTGGGATTCTTCCTAATCTAAGATCCAGTATAAAACAGAAAGTAATTATCACAGGTCTCTTGTAGGGAAAAAAAGCAAACCAATAGTTTTTTTCTTCAGTCTTTACTTTGCATGATTTGACGGTGCCCCATTCACGGAAGTAAGCTTGTATATATCCTTCATTTACGTAGGGATTCAGATCTTCTACAAGCAGTCCATGATCCTGTTAAATAGCAGAAATTCAAGAGCTTCATGAAACATTTAAACATAAAAAGATAAAAGGAAATAAAATGATAGCTTTGCTCAAAGATATGGGAATGAGAAAAGTTGTTTACAAGCTCATATTGCTCGGCCAAAAGATTAATGAGTTTTTTCGGAATACAGATGTATGGCCTTTTGTTGGGCGCTGTCTTCATGCCGTCTGGGGGAAAGATGAGCAAGAAAATTATAACATAGAAGGGTGATGCATCTAAAGCAGTTGCACAACAATTTGTAATTTCATTTTCTTTAAAGATGAGACATGAAATCAAGAAAGCCCTTACTTACCAGAAGTCATTGTTGAGAGTCGGATGTGAGACAAACCTGCACTTCAGATTAGACCGAGGTAAGGAATAGAATAACCTGCTGCAGAGTGGGTTAATATGTAAGGTAGGAAAACTCCTCCCACTTTCATTCTTGTGTTTTCATGAAGAAAGTCAGGAAGAATTTCTGAATAACTGTTCAGAGTTACCCAACTTGTTTAGCAGCTAGGGGGAAACTGTATGGTGGCAAGGGACGGCTGGCATTACTGAAAACTTGTTAATGTAGCAATGTGCTAGTTAACTTACTGTATTTGGACATGGTGGTACACAGGAGCAAGTTGTCATATTTTTAGACTGTTGGTTCATCCAGCTGGACTTTTCTCATTGAAACAGTAAAAAAAAATGTAAATAAAATAATTATAATATTTTTATTTCTTTTGATGAAACATATTCCTTCAGATTTGGCAAATGTTCTTCAATTGTTCACTTGAACTCAAGGATGAACTGACTAAAACTTGGTGGTCCAAACCACGAGTATGACTCAATTTGTTTGTACTGGAAAAGAAGAACAACAAAACGATCAAAGAACAACTTCAAGTCAGCTCAGGTAAGTTTTTACTCACATAACCTTTATAGGTTTGACAGTCAAACAAAAGTCGTTCTTCACTGACAAAATATCCAACTGGACCCCACTTTACTTTTTCTTTCGCACTTCTGCATATTCTGCATATTTTACCGGTTAAACGATGTCACGTGGAATGCGTTCTTAAGAAATCCATTGTGAAGGTATTGATGATGACTGATTTTAAAGAATCTCGGGTTGTGTGTTGTGTGCTAAGGTCTCCATATCCGGATATGTAAAAAAAAGATCATTTTTTTAAAGTAAAAAGACCACTTTTGAGCCGTGTCTTTTTGGCCGTAAAGAATCCGAAAGAACCGGAATTTAACACTTGCCATGTTTGAGCCGATCAGATAAAAGAAACAACAGGGACAAAAACAAAGAAGAAATTTTATTTTGTCTTGTCATAAAATACATTGAAGATCATTGTATACTGTGATAATAAAAGCCTATAAATAAATATTAATAACCCTGCTGAGGTGCCAACGGTCAGTGATTCAGTTTTCAGAGATGACCAAGATTAACATGGAATATATTTAAAAATAGCAAACTTTACGGTTACTGGTTTTACTTTTATTTCGTTCATGTTTTTGTAGCATGTTTTAGACATTCCTGTTTATCTGGACAATCAACTCAGCTTTGAGATAATATCGAAGCCGAAATACTTCTCGGTGAGCCAAACTGCTGCGTAGTGAGAGATGTGTAGTGAGAGAGTGCACTTTGTTCACAGTGTGTTCAGCCAGAGACTGGAGAAGAAAAGAAAGTTCATATTTTGACTTGAAATACCAGTGCAAAGCAAAAAAAAACTAAACAAAACAAAAATTATGTAGCCTCAGTGAAGAGCTGCAGTATTGAGAATACTCACCCTTGAGAGGAAGTGGGATGATTATTTGCATAGATCTTGCAATTTGGCAATGAGGAACTTTTTGTCCTTACCCTCCTGTGAACAGCATTAAAACAAAACACAATGCATTGACATTAATAATGACAAAAATTTGATTTCAGCAGTTATTAAAAAATAAATTGATTAAATAAATTAAAAACTGTAATAAAATACTGACTGAGCCAACCAGATGAGCTGAGAAAGGCTGTTTCAAAGTTTTAGAGCTACTGCGTGAAAAGCGTGGTCACCTCTGGTTATAAATAGTGTGGAATTATAAACTGATGATCAGAGAAGTTGACTGCTGTTATAAGCTCTGCTATGTAGGCAGGAGCCTACCCATGTCGGGTCTTTTTGATAGGTTTATGTTTGTGGCTAGCTTGATGTTGGTTGTTAACTCTGACTGATCTGTCCTGTTCTCAACCAAACACTAGATAGTGGAAGTTATATGTTGTGTTTCTTATCTTATTTTATGTTTTTGGTGACTGTTAACAGGGCTGAGTATGGCAGCTGTTGGTTCTGACTTAAGTTTCTGAAGGAACCTTCATGGACAGAATTGTATTTGTGTAGAAAAGATGATTTGTCTTCCATAGCATAACACTTTGAATTAAATGTGAGCAAGCAAATGCTTATGAGAGATCTGAGAAATGTGGTCTCAAACAAACTTGTGGGCTCGGTTCATCTTGTCCTCCAGTTTCACCTAATAGAGCTACACAAGCAAAATTTGCTCTGCCAGTGGATGATGGGGAATTGGCTGCTATCGAGACACACCCAAAATTGCAAATTGATCTAGCTCAATTAGTTCTTTTCACTTCCTGGAATAAAGGAAGAAGCATTTCTCAAGGAATGTTTAGCAGGATTACAGTTGGAGGCTCAGGATAAAGCCCAAACCATCAGACAGAGTTTGAACTTTGGAAGTTGGAGCCGGGGTGGGGTTAATTAAAGCAATTCAAACCCAGAGCCCGATCCATGTTTTGAACAATTTATCTTTCAGGGATCTTTTTCTTTAACAAGCAAAGCAGAGGTTGAGCAAACTATAAAAGTCCTGAGGGATACTGGTAGGTCTCGGTCACTGATAGTCACTGATTTGTTGCCCTTGAGTGAGTCAGCTCCTCTAATCATAAAGGCTTTTTTACCATCTTTGGCCTCCCAAAGTCCAAAGTAGTTCAGACAGACATAGGCATAAATTTTCTATCAAAACTCACTCAAAAAGATGAAATTGGGTGGTTGCTACATGTACACGATTCAAACTTGTAATTTGAACTAAATAATTTCATGTTTCTATGGTGAATGTAATTAAATCATGTAGCATCTGCATGAAATTCAGCAACTACGCTGAAAATGCTGCATCAAGCCTTGTAATCAGTGTAAATGGTTGTTTATCTATAAAATCATCAACCCCTGTATTGGTTCATTGAGCAAGACTAGCAGTAATTGCCTTGCTTAACAAAGTAGTTATTCAAACAACAAGATTTCTTTGTGTTTTCCTAAAGTTTTTAACTTGTGTAGAATGAATTAAAACAGATTTCACTCTACATACTTAAATAAATCACTTCAACTCAATGTAAGTATACTATGTTGATCCAACGTAATCTGATTATATTAAACCACCAAATGCCAAATGTGTTGGTTTGACATGGTCAAAAATGGGTTATTGTACTTGGTTAAATCACGTGGAAACAGGTGCCATGATTAAATTGTGTTCATCCAACAACAGATTTTTTTTGAGTGCTCTTTAACTAGGTCATGCAGACTCTTAGTAGTTAAACATGTGGTCTCTAGTACCTGTCATCTTGAGTCCTAGGGAGCTCTGGAAAGGTGGCACCAGACTACTAAATCTATGCTGCAGAAGGGCTGTTTGGCTACTGGTAATGACTGGGATGAAGGAGTTCCACTAATGGTATGTGCAATACGGGAAGCTAAACAAGGATCCCTGTGTCTTAGCCCAGCTGAAGTTGTTTTTGGTTATTCAGTGCAGGGATCTTTTAAAACTATTTAAATAACAACTTCTGCACAATCCAATAAAACTAATGTTTTGGACTATGTTTCACTGATCTTTGAATGCTTGTAGCAAGCCCTTTCAGTAGCACTGGAAGCTCCTTTGTCTGTTCAGATCACCATGAAGCAGCATTAAAAGCATAAAAGGAATCGCATAAAAAGCACATGAAGAGTCAGTTACAATGATCAAGACAGGAAAAAAATTAAAGCGTGTATTAAATATCCAAATTATTGGGTGTCAGTAAAACGGGAGGAAGAGAGAGTGGAAATGTGGAGGCATGCATTGGAGAGAAGAGAAAGGAAAGTCAGTACAAGTAAGACAGAGTATATGTGTATGAATGAGATGGAAGCAGGTGGAAAGGTGAAGATGAGGGGAGTAGAAGTACTGAAGATGGATGAGTTTAAATACCTGGGTCAACCATCCAAAGCAAAGGACAGTATAAAAGAGAGGTGAAGAAGAGACTGTAGGCTGTAAGCTTTAGGAGGAAGAAGGGTAAAACCAGGAGGGAAGAAACAAAAGAAGAATTTTAACAAAACCATATATACTCAGATTATGAATTCAAACTAGGATGCTGAATTTGTTTTTGTCATTTCTGTCTCTCAACTCAGAAGGAATTTTCACATCTTTAGCGATGCCTTTTTTTCTCTGCTGCCATCATCAGAGGAAATGCTAAAAGTGGTTCAAATGCTACTTGTACATTTTAAAAGTACGCCATCAGTGTCAGCCTTAACATGGCGCGAGTGTTAGCGCTTAAACTCACAAATGCCGCTAACATAGACAAACTTATGCATACATTTTCAATCTGCTTTTCTAACCGGCTGATGATTTTCCTCTGGCCATCAACAACTTGAGCCTGAAAGTATATCACCATTCTGCAAAAACAAAAGCAAAAATAGCAATGGATCATTTCAAAATTTTAAGAGCGTAAAACCGTTTCTGTAAGTCACGAACGTTAAATGTTTCAATGGAGGAGACGCTTGCTGCTACGAATTGCTACCAACAAACAACGCTGACTTGCTAATTAATGAAATGAAATACATAGCAGAAACAGGAGCGTAATCATTACCACTCACAGAAAGACTCCACTGGCGAGGAATAGAAACACTGGATTCTCTACCAAACAGTCGTAGACCCAGCTGAGCCACTTCAGGATTGGATGAGCATCCTCCAGGTGCCTGGTTGACATCTGCCCTCCCTCAAACATTGTTGTGAGATTCCTGAAAGGGCCGCAGTTTTCCGAGGGTTTGATTCTGTGCATGACAGGCAGATGCATTTAAGGAGATACAGTACAGAGTGTGTATATATATATATATATATATTCACTGTCATCTTTTTTAGCCTGATCCTTTATGTCTCGTGTTTTTTTGTTTACTCTGATCTGAATCAGTTGATGAGTT